TCCTGGAGGGCCAGTTTGCTTCTCCCGATGATACAGAAGGAGGACTTCCTGAAAGGCCAGTTTGCTTATTCCGGGGACAAAAAAGGAGGACTTCCTGGAGGGCCAGTTTGCTTATCCCGGGGACAAAGAAGGAGAATTTCCTGGAGGGCCAGTTGGCTTATCCCGGGGACAAAGAAGGAAGATTTCCCGGAGCGCCAGTTTGCTTATCCCGGGGACAAAGAAGGGGGACTTGCTGGAGGGCCAGTTTGCTTATCCCGGAGACAAAGAAGGAGGACTTCCTGGAGGGCCAGTTTGCTTACGGGGACAAAGAAGGGGGACTTCCTGGAGGGCCAGTTTGCTTATCCCGGGGACAAAGAAGGAAGATTTCCCGGAGCGCCAGTTTGCTTATCCCGGGGACAAAGAAGGAGGACTTCCTGGAGGGCCAGTTTGCTTATCCCGGAGACAAAGAAGGAGGACTTCCTGGAGGGCCAGTTTGCTTACGGGGACAAAGAAGGGGGACTTCGTGGAGGGCCAGTTTGCTTATCCCGGGGACAAAGAAGGAGGACTTCCTGGAGGGCCAGTTTGCTTATCCCGGGGACAAAGAAGGAGGACTTCCTGGAGGGCCAGTTTGCTTATCCCGGGGACAAAAAAGGAGGACTTCCTGGAGGGCCAGTTTGCTTACGGGGACAAAGAAGGAGAATTTCCTGGAGGGCCAGTTGGCTTATCCCGGGGACAAATTTCCCGGAGCGCCAGTTTGCTTATCCCGGGGACAAAGAAGGAGGACTTCCTGGAGGGCCAGTTTGCTTATCCCGGAGACAAAGAAGGAGGACTTCCTGGAGGGCCAGTTTGCTTACGGGGACAAAGAAGGGCAGTTTGCTTATCCCGGGGACAAAGAAGGAGGACTTCCTGGAGGGCCAGTTTGCTTATCCCAACGACAAAGAAGGAGGACTTCCTGGAGGGCCAGTTTGCTTATCCCGGGGACAAAGAAGGAGGATTTCCTGGAGGGCCAGTTTGCTTATCCTGGGGACAAAGAAGGAGGACTTCCTGGAGGGCCAGTTTGCTTATCCCGGGACAAAGAAGGAGGACTTCCTGGAGGGCCAGTTTGCTTATCCTGGGGGACAAAGAAGGGGGACTTCCTGGAGGGCCATTTTGCTTATCCCGGACAAAGAAGGAGGACTTGCTGGAGGGCCAGTTTGCTTGTCCCGGAAACAAAGAAGGAGGACTTCTTGGAGGGCCAATTTGCTTATCCCGGGGACAAAGAAGGAGGACTTCCTGGAGGGCCAGTTTGCTTATCCCGGGGACAAAGAAGGAGGACTTGCTGGAGGGCCAGTTTGCTTCGAAGGAGGACTTCCTGGAGGGCCAGTTTGCTTATCCCGGGGACAAAGAAGGAGGACTTCCTGGAGGGCCAGTTTGCTTATCCCGGGGAGGGCTAGTTTGCTTCTCCCGGGGACAAAGAAGGAGGACTTCCTGGAGGGCCAGTTTGCTTATCCCGGAGACAAAGAAAGAGGACTTCCTGGAAGGCCAGTTTGCTTATCCCGGGGACAAAGAAGGAAGACTTCCTGAAGGGCCAGATTGCTTATCCCGGGGACAAAGAAGGGGGACTTGCTGGAGGGCCAGTTTGCTTATCCCGGAGACAAAGAAGGAGGACTTCCTGAGGGCCAGCTTGCTTACGAGGACAAAGAAGGGGGACTTCGTGGAGGCCCAGTTTGCTTATCCCGGGAACAAAGAAGGAGGACTTCCTGGAGGGCCAGTTTGCTTATCCCGGGACAAAGAAGGAGGACTTCCTGGAGGGCCAGTTTGCTTATCCCGGGGACAAAGAAGGAGAACTTCCTGGAGGGCCAGTGTGCTTATCCCGGGGACAAAGAAGGAGGACTTCCTGGAGGGCCAGTTTGCTTATCCCGGGACAAAGAAGGAGGACTTCCTGGAGGGCCAGTTTGCTTATCCCGGGGGACAAAGAAGGAGGAATTTCTGGAGGGCCAGTTTGCTTTTCCCGGACAAAGAAGGAGGACTTCCTGGAGGGCCAGTTTGCTTGTCCCTGGAAGGCCAATTTGCTATCCTGGGGACAAAGAAGGAGGACTTCCTGGAGGGCCAGTTTGCTTATCCCGGGGACAAAGAAGGAGGACTTCCTGGAGAGCAGTTTGCTTATCCGGGGACAAAGAAGGAGAACTTCCTGGAGGGCCAGTTTGCTTATCCCGAGGACAAAGAAGGAGGACTTCCTGGAGGGCCAGTTTGCTTATCCCGGGGACAAAGAAGGAGGACTTCGTGGAGAACCAATTTGCTTATCCCGAAGACAAAGAAGCAAGACTTCCTGGAGGGCCAGATTGCTTATCCCGGGTTCAAAGAAGGAGGACTTCCTGGAAGGCCAATTTGCTTATCCCGGGGACAAAGAAGGAGGACTTCCTGGAGGGTCAGTTTGCTTATTCCCGGGGACAAAGAAGGAGGACTTCCTGGAGGGCCAGTTTGCTTCTCCCGGGGATACAGAAGGAGGACTTCCTGAAGGGCCAGTTTGCTTATCCCGGGGACAAAGAAGGAGGACTTCCTGGAGGGCCAATTCGCTTATTCCGGACAAAGAAGGAGGACTTCCTGCAGGGCCAGTTTGCTCATCCCGGGGACAAAGAAGGAGGACTTCCTGGAGGGCCAGTTTGCTTATCTCGGGGACAAAGAAGGAGGACTTCCTGGAGGGCCAATTTGCTTATCCCGGGGACAAAGAAGGAAGACTTCCTGGAGGGCCAGATTGCTTATCCCGGGTTCAAAGAAGGAGGACTTCCTGGAAGGCCAGTTTGCTTATCCCGGGGACAAAGAAGGAGGACTTCCTGGAGGGCCAGTTTGCTTATCCCGGGACAAAGAAGGAGGACTTCCTGGAGGGCCAGTTTGCTTCTCCCGGAGATACAGAAGGAGGACTACTTGGAGGGTTCGGTGATGGCGCGACTTTGGCTGCAGTCAAATAAGCCAGCCAACCTGAGGTGAAAATGTTTGTCTTGAAGACCAAGAAGAAAAGCCTCCCGGCGGGCCATTTCGTGTGTCGGGGCAAAGGAGGAGGACTTTGTGGAGGGCTCGTTCAAGAGCTGGACTTTGTGAAGGGCTGGTTCGAGTCGAGGACATTGAAGACAAATAGATTGATGTGTGCCACTTCAGCTGCTGATCTTAGCAAGACATTGTATTTTCGTTTTAAATCAGAACAGAGCATTGAACCCTTTGTCTGTGCACGGACGATGGCCTGGAGCACCAGTCTATCACGGGGCGAAGAAGGAGGACTTCCTGCTGAAGGGCTCGTTCAAATCCTGGACTTTGTGACGGGCTAGTTCGAATCGAGGACATTCAAGACAAATAGAACGCTTGGGCAAAGCACCTTCGGCTGCAGACAAGGCTGGGTGACCCAATCCTGAAGTGACTCAAGCTTTTGGAGTGACCCAACGCTGGGGTGACTCAGTTCTGGCGTACCCAGCTCTGAGGTGACCCAGTCGTTGCGGTGATCCATTCTTGAGGTGATTCGGGTGTGGGGTGACCTGGTCTCAGCAAGGCTTTGCGTTTCGTTTTCCTTTTAATTAAGCAACAACATTACGTTGAATCCTTTGTCTGCGCACGGACGATGGCCTGGAGCACCAGTCTATGACGGGGCGAAGAAGGAGGACTTTTTGAAGGGCTCGTTCAAGACCTGGAGTCGAGGACATAGAGGACAAATAGATTGATGGGCGCAACTTCGGCTGCTGGTCTGAGCAAGGCTTTGCTTTTTCTGTTTAAATCAGAACAGTACATTGAATGCTTTGTCTGTGCACGGACGATGGCCTTGGGCACCAGTCTATCACGGGGCGAAGAAGGAAGGAGGACTTCCTGGAGGACCGACCAACTTGCTTATCGGGGGGGGGGGGACAAAGAAGGAGGACTTCCTGGAGGGCCAGTTTGCTTATCCCGCAGACAAAGAAGGAGGGCTTCCTGGAGGGCCAATTTGCTTATCCCGGGGACAAAGAAGGAGGACTACCTGGAGGGCTCGGTGATGGCGCGACTTTGGCTGCAGTCAAACAAAAGCCAACCTGAAGCGGTCTTGTTTTTCTTGAGGACAAAAGCCTCCTGCGGGCATTTCTTCGTGTATCGGGGCGAAGAAGGAGGACTTTCTGAAGGGCTCGTTCAAGACCTGGACAATGTCAAGGGCTGGTTCCAATCCAGGACTTCGAAGACAAATAGATCGATGGACGCAACTTCGGCTGCAGCTGGTCTTAGCAAGGCTTTGGTTTGTGCTTTTAGATTTCAACAGTATACTGAATCCTTTCGCTATGCACGGACGATGGCTTGTGGCTTGGAGCACGGGACGAAGAAGGAGGACTTCCTGGAGGGCTCGTTCAAGAATTTTGTGAAGGGCTGGTTTATGAGTCGAGGACATTGAAGACAAATAGAACGCTTGGGCACCTTCGGCTGCAGACAAGGCTGGGTGACCCAATCATGAAGTGACTCGAGCTTTTGGAGTGACCCAACGCTGGGGTGACTCAGTTCTGGCACACCTAGCTCTGAGGTGACCCAGTCGTTGGGGTGATCCATTCTTGAGGTGATTCGGGTATGGGGTGGCCTGGTCTTAGCAAGGCTTTGCTTTTTCTTTTAAATAACAACAATGAATTGAACCCTTTGTCTATGCGTGGACGATGACTTGGAGCACCAGTTTATCATGGGGCGAAGAAGAAGGACTGCCTGCAGTTTGGTGAAGGGCAGGTTCGAGACGAAAACGTTCAAGACACCTTCGGCTGGAATCGAACAAGTGTGTGGGGCGACTGTTGCAATTGTCGCTGTAAAGAGACTTGTTGCAACAATAGCCTGTAGCCTGAAGAAATAGAAGACGGGCCACCATGTTCGAGATTTTTGCCATCATGCGGATACCTTCAACGCAGGAAGAGGCGCTGCTCAAAAGCCATTGGCCCAAATGATCCAGCAAGCTCCTTAGCTTAGCCCTGCCAAAGTTCAGAAACCGCAAGATGGGCAGCCGCCGTCTCGAGTGGAGCCGGTGCTTGGAAGGCAGTCCTAGTTCCTGGTCAATGCTTGGCTTGGGCGGTGCTGCCTTTGCCGTTGCCACAGACGCAGCTCCTGGATGGCATATACCTTTCTTCTACATCAGCGGCATGAATGTGCTGGAGTGCCGATTTGCCCAGTGGCATCCAGAAGAATCTCATGTTGCCGTGTTCGACGCTGAAGAACTGCACTACGATGCTTGGGTCAGCTATCCTGCTGGAAAGATCTATGTCCGTGAAGTGCCCTCGCCCTTGGTCATCACCTGCAGCTTGACATTTGTGCAACAAGATGCTATTGACGTCGTATTCACCACGGTGGCCGGCGCGCAGATGTTGCGCATCGCCAGGTTGTCAAGCCTGCCGGAGATGGAACATTTTGCAACAGCCGCTGCCATGGCGGCGGCAGCGCAAGGCCGTCTGCAGAGCCGCAACCAAGCAGTGTGCACGGTCTTGGAAGGGCAGGCAACCCCACTGGGCACGGTGGCCCTGTCAGATGACTTGTGGGACAAGATGACAGTGCAGGAGGCCCAGCAGCCATAAAGACACACCATGTGCTCTGCAGTTGAAAGGAAAACAAGCTGCTGCTCGGCGCACCCAGATTGTCACCGCTGCAGAGTCCGAGGCCGGTCATAGCTTTGTCTGTCATAGCATAGTGCCTTTGCCCGCTGCCGTTTCGCCGCCTCAACTCCCACTTGGAGCAGAAAGAAGCGCTACAAACATGCTGCGGAAGTACCTTGCTACACAGTCGTACACGCACACACACGCAAGCAAGCAAACTTGGTCTTCGCGAAATCACGAATCCTTCGATCATTCGAAGATCACATCACTGCGCGCTGTGACCATGCCTGCGTGTGAGCGCTGCGGTGGGACGAGAAGTGGCCGAGGCCGCGGATGGTGCTCCAACCCTGCTTGCAAAGCAGCTGAGAAGCACGAAGCTCAAGCTGCGAAGCGCGTGCGACAAGAGGCGCGACGAGAAGCTGGCGCTGGAAAACGGGGCCCACTTCCTGACGTTGAGGCCCAAGTTGCCAAGCGCTTGCGCGCGCAGGCCCGTGAAGAAGCGGGAGCTGGCGAAAGGGGTCCAGTTCCTGACCTTGAGGCTCAAGCTGTCAAGTTTTTCCAAGAAGAAGCCCGACGAGAAGCTGGAGGTGGCGAGAGGGGTCCAGTTCCTGACCTTGAGGCTCAAGCTGGTAAGCTTTTGCGAGAAGAGGCCCGACGAGAAGCTGGCGCTGGTGAACGTGGCCCACTTCCTGACGTTGAAGCTCAGGCTGCGAAGCGATTGCGAGAGGACGCCAGGCAAGAAGCTGGAGCTGGCGGACGAGGTCCATGTCCTGGTGAAGGTGGTCGACCAACCCTCGAGCCAGATCAAGTTGGCAACCGCCAGCCTCCATTCCTCAACGAGAAGAACCTCACTTCCGAAGACGTTCTCAAGAAGTACACAACCTACATGAAAGCGTGGGGGCGTTTTGGCCTGTCACGGGTCTGCGAGATTTGCCACGCCCTCACGCCAGCCAGGTTCTGGAAGTTGACCGGAAGCAAGGATCAACCATCGAAGCAGCAGGAATTCGGCTGCAAGAACTGCCGCGAGCACCGTACCAAGTACATCCTGCCAGAACTTGCGCCCGTCCCAGCAAGCTTGGGTTGCCTCAGCACCTTGGAAAAGCGGCTGCTCGCAAGCGCCCACGTGGACCAAGTCATCATTGACAAGCTGCCATCGGGAGGGCCCAGCGCACAGTGGGGAAGGATGTATTGCGTACCCATGGAGGAGCCGGCCTTGTGCCACGTGCTAGATGGAGCCGAGCTTGGAGAGAACGGCGAGGTCTACGTCAATGGGGTGCAAGGAATGATGGCTTCAACTGCGCGGCTGCAACACTTGGAAGCCGGCTTGAGGGCGTTGAAGCTGCAGCACGCAGCATACAAGTGCAACGCTGGCGTGGACAAGGCTTTGCAGAACATGCAAGCCATTCTGGCCAAGTTGCCAGCAGCATCGACGGCTGAAGGAGCAGGGGATGAGGACAAGGAAGAGGATGTGGAGGTGACCTATCTGATGGCCCGGGACCCTGCCATCCCGAAAGCTGACCTAGCCGACCTGCAGGAGCTCCGCCGCAAAGCCAAGCAGACCGTCGACAACTTGGACACTCTCCTCTTCCCGTATCTGTTCCCAGATGGCACAGGCGGCTACGATCAGTGGGCCCACAAGAAGTTCTCGGAGTATGCTCGCAAGAGGATGCTGGGGCAGGACGGCCGCTTCGAGAAAGACCCAGCCTACTTGATGTGGTTGCTGGAAGAGCAGATGAGGAGGCGGCTTTCTGGCAATGTCAACGTCCGGATGAAGGGGCAAGTCCACCCGCAGTTCGGCAGCAGATACGAGGACTTTAGCCGGAAGATCTATACGGCCTTGCGCGACATCCCCGGCACGCAGCCATACTTGTACGCCAAGAAAGGCATAGCCATGAGCATGTACGAGCAGCTGGGCAAGCCACAGTTCTTCCTGACATTGACCTGCCACGCACGGCAGCCTGATATCCTCGCTGCGTGCGTCACTGCGGAGCTCCTCAGACAGCGTGAGCCCACAGCTGGCCAGTGCGACGTTGAAGCGGAAGCCGCCGAGGTCCTCCGTCACTACATGACCGACGAGAACTACGTGTGGAACGGGATGACCGCAAACCAGCTGTGCAACTCGATGCCGGGCATCGTCGCGAGGCAATTCATGCACGGCCTGCGGCAACTTCTGCACTGGTTGCAAGGAGGAGACGGCGATGTGCAATTCAAGGCCGACGACGCTGACGAACAAGATCGCCCAGACCTGGCAGACGATGATGAGGAAGATGCAGAAGCAGCTCCAGAAGTCGGCCGATCAGGAACATCCCACAGCATGAAGAAAGAGAAGCCGCCTTTCCAGATCCTGGACTACATCGTCCGCATCGAGTGGCAGAAGCGGGGCTATCCACACGCCCACATTCTCTTGTGGGCCGATGTCCCAGATGTGGCAGGAAAGCAGCGGCAAGAGGAAGCCCCGACAGATAAAGGGAAGGAGGAGCAGCACGTCGACTGGTCTGATGAGGAAGCCTGCCACCGCGCTGTGCCAACCTGCGCAGAGGATCTGAGCGACAAGTACATCTGCACCAAGTCCGCGCAAAGGTGGCTTGAGGATCCTCGAATAAGCGAGGCAAAGCGGGAGGTCAACGCCAAGCTTGCGGCCTACTGTGAACACAAGTGTGGGCCATACTGCGGCAAGTACACAGTAGGCTCGTGCCGCTTTGGTTTCCCGCGGGCAGCAGAGGAGCAGACCAGGCGGCGCACGCCGCAGGAGCAATTCTCCAGTAGATGGAAGGCCAGCTTGGCTGCCCGGCGGCACGAAGACGACTCGATGATGGGCCAGTACAACACAGCAATCCTGCGGCACTGGCGCGCCAGCATGGATCTGCAGGTCATTTCCGAACTCACCTGCGCCAGCAAGTACATCTTGGGCTATGCCTTCAAATCAGAAGAAGACATCGCCGCCAAGCAGCGCGTCGACGAGATTGTGCAAGGCTACCTGGAGGACTCAGGCACAGTTGACCTCAGCAACCAGCAGGTGTACAGGGCCGCCCACGCCGCGACGCAAGCTCGCACAACCTCCACCTTCGAGGCAGCTCACTTGCTTTTGGGCTATCCAACAGTCCTCTTCTCAAGAGACAACGAATGGGTGCAGGTCGGCCCGCCAAGCACATGGACCCTGGTGGTGCCGCAACTGGAAGAGGCAGATGCCCTGCACGACCCCGCCGTGTACGCAGCCGCTCGTAGAGACGAAGGAACTGACCTCCCGAAGGCCCACCGGGTGTATCGTTTTCAACAGCAACACTGCGGTGACAAGGAGACCGAGGTCCCCGTGGAAGGAGGCAAGCCAGTGAGGAAGCCCTGGCGAGAGATCACATTCTTCGACTTCGTGGCCGGCTTCAAATTCATTGCCAAGAAGATGGGGGAGGAGCCAGAACCAAGGAAGAGGCCTGCCATCGTCGGACATCGCAATTACAATCCAGACTTGCAGCCGGAAGAGTTCTACTACTCAAAGCTGCTGCTGCATCTTGTTTGGACAGAGCCCGGTGATTGGCTCCGAGACGAGGATGGAGGAAGTCATGCGGCCGCTTTCCATCGGATCGTGAAGGATTTGGACCACCACCCCACGTTCCTGGAATCCATTGCCCTGCCCAAGCTCGATGGCACGGTGCAAGCAGCCAGGGAGCTTCAGGCAGTCCAGTCGTTCATGTACCTCAAAGCCAACGTTGGAAACATGATGGGCCTTGTCCACTGCCGGGCAGACGAGCAAAACTATGAGGACTCGCTGCGCATCATGCAGGCTCTCAAGGACAGGCACGGGAACGACATCGAGTTCATGGCCCCGGACACCGTGCCCACCGGCCCTGCTACTGACATCTTCGCACCAGTCGAAGGCGGCGAGGCCGGGCGGGTATAATTCAACGAGACATTATCATTTGTGTTTGGATTTGTGCGTCAGCCGTCTGCCTGCCAGGAAGCTTTGGAGATGCTGGCCATCAAAGACCCGTCGCCTCAGGTCTTGAAGCAGAGGCAGTGCATGGAGTACGTGCTGCGATCGGTGCTCGATGGGCCACACTCCAAGAACCGGAACAACCTGCGCCGGCTCCGCTTGCTCATTCACGGGCCAGGCGGCTGCGGCAAGTCGGTGGTGGCAAGAGCAGCCGCTCATATGCTGCGGCAGGCCGGTCGAGGTGTGGTATTGGCAGCGCCTACAGGAGTCGCAGCGTGCAACATCAACGGTGTCACTTTGCATTCCAGCCTCTTGTTGCCGGTCATCAACCAGAGCTACGGCAAGGCCTGCGACGTGCCATTGCCTCGTGGGGAGCAGCTCGCTGCGCTACATGCCTTTTGGAAGCACGTCGACGTCCTCATGATAGACGAAATGAGCTTCGTGTCCGAGGCCATGTTGGAGCGCGTGGATCAACACCTGCGACTGGCGCGGGACATGCCGCACTTGCCCTTCGGCGGTGTCCACTTGATTCTTATTGGCGATCTCTACCAGCTGCCGCCGCCCAAAGGCCTGGAGGGGTGCCAAAACATGACATGAAACACGCGCGCAGCACAATGATATACATCCTCCTGCGTTGCAGCACACAAACAGATTTCGGCGCCGGGGTTTTTAGCTTGCTTGTCCCTCCAGGCCTACCGATCTTTGCCAGCAAGCTATGGGGCTGCTTTGAGCTGTGCGAGCTGGAAGGCAACCAACGCGCAGCCAAAGACCCCGAGTGGGCAGCGCTCCTGGCACGCGTGAGGGTGGGCCAGCAGACCGAGCAGGACATCCAGATTCTGCAGAGCCGGGTCGTCAACAAACACTCTGCGAATCCTCGCCCATCACCAGAAGCAGTCCACTTGTTTGCAACCCGAGATGCCGTGGCAAACTACAATTCCCATTACATCCAAAACCACATTGAACGCACTGGCAGCGTCCTGTATGAATGCCCTTCGGTGGATGTTTCCGTGAAGACTGGCGCACCTCTACCTGCAGAAAAGGCGTGGCCGCGCGCGGATGACACCGGCGGCCTGGAAGCATTGTTGACCGTGGCTGAGGGCGCCCAAGTCATGTTGCGGAAGAACCTGGATGTGGGAGATGGTTTGGTCAACGGCGCACGGGGCACCATCCAAGGCATTGATCTTCACCAAGAGACCAAGGAGGTGACCAAGCTGTGGGTGAAGTTTGAAAAGAACGCGGGCAGCAAGTGGGAAAGCGCCAACGCCTGCGCAGCAGTAGCCATCCGGCGAACCACCGCCACCTTTCAGGACAGAGATGGCAACAAAGCTGACCGAACGCAGTTCCCGCTCACCTTGGCCAAGGCTTGCACCATTCACAAGAGCCAGGCTGCCACTTACCACGCCGGCGTGCACGCCCGGCTCGACAAGTCAGTGCGGGAGCCTGGCTCTGCATATGTGGCTTTGAGCCGTTCTCCAACTCAGCAGCGGTGTACGCTGGAGCGCTTCCAAAGAGAGAGCCTCAAGTACAACCGCTACGCCGCATGGGCTTTGGCACAGTTGAAGAGCAAATTGGCGAAGAGCCCTGGGCCCAAGCAGCAAGGCTTGCAAGAACTATGGGACAGCGTCGTGCGTCCAGCCCACGGCCACGACCATTACGAGATGCTTCTGGAGAGCATGCAGCCATTCAACCGCAGGACCTACCTGGAGGAGCAGCGTGCAAAGGATGCGCCAGCAGACGACACAGCGCAGGACGCCAGGACGAACAAGCCAAAGACGAAGAGCAAGGCAAAAGCAACAACCAAAAGGAGGGCCAAGGCAACTGCCAAGGCGAAAGCAAAGCAGGCAGCAAGTGCCAAAGCCAAGGCCACAGCCAGCAGGCGAGCCATGTCCGCGGCGGCTGCAGCAGCAGCAGCAGCCGCAGCGGCAGCAGAGGCTGCAGCTGCCGCTGCAGCGGCAGCAGCAGTGGGCACATTCTTCGAACATCAACAACAAGCGCAATGTGGCATGCACGCGCTCAACAATGCTTTGGGCCAAGCAGCGTTCACCCCAGAGGACATGGCCACAGCTGCCGAGACATACCTCCAGGAATGGCAAGGCATTGATGAAGCCGAGAGTGAACACATCAGGCCTGGAGGGTGGTATTCAGTCCAGATCCTTTATGCCGCTCTTTTCAACCGGGGCCTTGCACTCAACCTGGACGAGCCGGTGCAATCCCTGGACCAGGCGCACCTCGCGACAGCTCTGGTGCAGAACTGGAACAACCAGCATTGGGTGGCCTACCGCTGGGGGGCCGATGGCGCCATGTACCGCTTCGATTCATTGCAGCGCGGCCCTGAAAGAGTGAGTGAAGCGGACTTCGCAACATCCTTGGTCACACATTGGACCTACGCAGTTCTGCTCCCGTGTGACATGTGAAGTGTACAGCGACGTCGTAGACGGTGTTTGCGCCCTAACAAGTACAGCAGAGGCGCGGCAGCGTGACAGTGCGGCCCACCACGCAAAAGAACCAACGCTGCAGCTGCCGAGGATTGAGAGCATTTGGTTGCGCGTGTTGCACAGATGGACCAGAACCCTTAACTAGTTGCACGTATTGCACGGACGGGGCGAAGCGGATTTCGCAGCATCCTTGGTCGCGCACTGGACCTACGCGATTCTGCTGCCGTTTAACATGTGAAATGTATTGAAGTGTACAGCATTGTCGTAGGCAGTTGCGCCTAATATAGTACAGCAGAGGCGGCATCGATCGCGACAATCTGGCCCCGCGACGCAAAAGAGCTGACAATGAAGGCTGCGGAGGGTTGACGGTTGGTTGCACGGAAGTGAAATTACTCAAAAAGCCAAAATCAAAAATCCAAAACAGAAACTCCTCGAAACTCCTCGAAACTCCTCGAAACTCCTCGAAACTTTCCCCGGACCTGAACCCTTAATAAGTTCAATAAACCCTAAACCCTAAACCCTAAACCCTAAACCCTAAACCCTAAACCCTAAACCCTAAACCCTAAACCCTAAACCCTAAACCCTAAACCCTAAACCCTAAACCCTAAACCCTAAACCCTAAACCCTAAACCCTAAACCCTAAACCTAACCCTAAACCCTAAACCCTAAACCCTAAACCCTAAACCCTAAACCCTAAACCCTAAACCCTAAACCCTAAACCCTAAACCCTAAACCCTAAAAAAAAAAAAAAAAAAACAAAAAACCAAAAAAAACCAAAAAAAAACAAAAAAACTAAAAAAAACTAAAAAAACCAAAAAAAAACTAAAAAAAAAAAAAAAAAAATAAAAAAAAAAAAAAAAAAAAAAAAAAAAAAAAAAAAAAAAAAAAAAAAAAAAAAAAAAAAAAAAAAAAAAAAAAAAAAAAAAAAAAAAAAAAAAAAAAAAAAAAAAAAAAAAAAAAAAAAAAAAAAAAAAAAAAACAAAAAAAAAAAAAAAAAAAAAAAAAAAAAAACAAAAAAAAAAAAAAAAAAAAAAAAAAAACACAAAAAGCGCAAAAAGGTAAGCAAGTAAAAAAAAACCCCTAAACCCTAAACCCTAAACCCTAAACCCTAAACCCTAAACCCTAAACCCTAAACCCTAAACCCTAAACCCTAAACCCTAAACCCTAAACCCTAAACCCTAAACCCTAAACCCTCAAGACAAAATAAATAGAAATTGTATGTGGTATCATTCTGAATGTCCCACGTTATTTGTCTAAACAGCTGACAAGCAGAATTTGAGTAAACTAATCCAAAACGCTTCTGGGAGGCCGAGTTTAAGTAAATTGATTCAAAATACAACTGGGAGGCAAAATATTCAATTTACTTAAACCTGCCTCCCCTGACCTCCCCCTGAAAACCCCCTCCCGCCCCTTCCCCCCCGCCCTTCCCCACACCCTCCCGTCCCCGCCCTTCCCCACACCTCCTCCCCCCCCCCCTCCCCCCTCCCCCCCTCCCCCCCTCCCCCCTCCCTCCCCGCTCCCCCCTTCCCCCCCCTTCCCCCCCCCTTCCCCCCCCCTCCCTCCCCCCCTCCCCTCCCCCCCCTCGACATCCCCCCCTTCCCCCCCCCTCCCCCCCTCCCCCCCCTCCCCCCCCCTCCCCCCCTCGCCCCCCCTCCCCCCCGCCCCCCCCAATCCCCACCCCTCCCACCCCCTGCACTCCTTGAATTTATTTTGGGAGTTTCCGGAAGCTAATCTTTGATCTCCGGGCGCTAATTTTTGAGGTTCGCGTCCTAATTTGAAGCTCCGGGCACACATTTCCTGAGCTCCGGGAGCCATTTTGAGCTCCGGGAGCTAATTTTGAGCTTTGGGAGCTCACTTTCCCCGGGAGCTCATTTTGAGCTCCGGAGAGCTTATTTTTGAGCTTTGGAGCTATTTTGAGCTCCGGGAGCTAATTTTGAGCTCTGGGAGATAATTTTTAGCTCCGGAAGCTAATTTTGAGCTTTGGAAGCTATTTTGAGCTCCGGGAGCTAATTTTGAGCTCGGGGAGCTAATTTTGAGCTGGAGCTAATTTTGAGCTTTGGGAGCTAATTTTGAGCTCGGTTTTGAGCCCTGAGAGTTAATTTTGAGCTTTGGGAGCTAATTTTGAGCTCTGGGAGTTAATTTTGAGCTCCGGGAGCTAATTTGAAGCTTTGGGGAGCTTTTGAGCTCCGGGAGCTAATTTTTGAATTCCGGGAGCTAATTTTGAGCTCCGGGAGCTAATTTTGAACTCCGGGAGCTAATTTTGAGCTCCGGGAGCTGATTTTTGAATTCCGGGAGCTAATTTTGAGCTCTGGGAGCTAATTTTGAGCTCTGGGAGCTAATTTTGAGCTTCGGGAGCCAATTTTGAGCTCCGGGAGCTAATTTTGAGCTCCGCGACCTTGAGCTCTGGGAGCTAATTTTGAGCTCCGGGGAGCTAATTTTGAGCTCCGAGAGCTAATTTTGAGCTCCGAAAATTAATTTTGAGCTCCGGGAGCTTATTTTGAGCTCCGGGAGCTAATTTTGAGCTCTGGGAGTTAATTGTTTTTCTCCGGGAGCTAAGTTTGCTGACCAGCCGAGTTTAAGTAAATTAAACTGCTTTTGGCAAGCCGAATATTCAATCCACTTCAATTCACTTCAATTCAAAACTCCAGATCCCTCCCAGATCCCCACAGCTGACAAGCCGAGTTGAAGTAAATTAATGTGAATCGCTTTTGGCAAGCCGAATATTCAATTCATTCAACCCCCGCAAAAGGCCCCAAGAAACCCCAAAGCCAGGAGGCGGCGGGAGCCCCCAAATAGGCACTGGAGGCACTGGGAGGCACAAAAATAAGGTCCCAAAATATGTCCCGGGAGGCGCCAGTTCAGGCTCCAGGAGTTCCCAAAATAGGAATGGAAGGCCCCAAAATAAGCCTCGTGAGGCCCCAAAATAGGCCCCGGAAGACCTTAAACTATGCACCGAAAGGCCCTAAAATACACCCAGGGCTCAAAATAGGCACCGGGAGGCCGCAAAATGGCCCAAAAGGCCAAATTAGGGCCTCCGAAAAAAAGCCCCCGGGAGGCCCGAAAAGGCTGGCAGCCTCAAATCAAGCCCCGACAGACACCAAATTAGGCCGGTCCCAGTTTAGGCCAAATCAAGCAACCCAAAATAAATTTTTCCAAATTAAGCCTCGAGACCCCGAATTATGTCCCACAAAAACCCAAATTAAGCCCCGCAAAATCCCAAATTAAGCCCTGCAAAGGCCAAGTTAGGGCCTGGCCTCAAGTCTGGCCTTCAAATTAAGCCACCGGGAAGCCAAGAAAAACCCAAGTTGAGGGAAAGCCGAAATCAGGTCCGGGAGGCCCCGAATCAAATTGCGAGAGGGCACCCCCAGCAAAATTAGGCCCCGAACTAGCCCTGCAGGGCCCCAAATTAGGCCCACCCAGGCCCCACATTAAGCAAGCCCCAAAGTAATATATTAACCCAAAACGCTTGGGAGGCCACATGCTCAATTTACTGAAACCTCTAAGGCCTTCACTTTTGCGTTGTCCCATGAAAGACTCGGGCCCCCCAAACGGCAAAGCCAAACCCCCCCAAATCTACTTATTCGTGCTTGAATTTCGGGGGTGCCAGGGGGTGTCCCCCTGGCGCGGTCCAGCAGGGGCGATTGCTGGCGGGGTCCAGGGCGAGGAGTCCTGGCGGGGGGCTCGGGGGGCAGCGCCCCCCGGAAACGGTGGCGTCGATTTGTATTTTCTTGGTGACCCCCTTCCAAAACTAAAAACATAGTTCCAAAAAACAAAACTTGCGGTCAAAACTTTCGGTCAAAACTTTCGGTCAAAACTTATTGGGACCTGAACCCTATACAATTTCTATAAACCCTAAACCCTAAACCCTAAACCCTAAACCCTAAACCCTAAACCCCTAAACCCTAAACCCTAAACCCTAAACCCTAAACCCTCAAGACCAAGGTAAATAGAAATTGTATGTAGCGTCGTCGTGAACATCCCATATTATTTATCTATCTAAATGAATTCAAAACGCCTTCGGAAGGCCAAATATTCAATTCACTTAAACCTCTAAGTTCCAAATTATTTGTCTAAACAGCTGACAAGCAGAGCTGAAGTAAATTCATCCAAAGCGGTTATATCATTCTGAATATCCCAAACCTCTAGGTTCCAAGTTATTTGTCTAAACAGCTGACAAGCAGAGCTTAAGTAAATTCATCCAAAGCGGTTATATCATTCTGAATATCCCAATCCAAAAAGCGCACCAGCCCTCGCCGCCAGCAGCCGCCTGGCCCCCCAGCCCCAGCCCCAACCAGCCGCCCCAGTAGCCCCAGCCCCGGCCCCATCCCCAGCCTAGCCCCAGCCTCAACCCCCCAGCCCAAGCTCCAAAGCATAAAAAACCTCACCCAAAGCAAAAAAAAAAAACTTTCGGTCAAAACTTTCCATAAAAACCTCACCCAAAGCAAAAAAAGAAACTTTCGGTCAAAACTTTCGGTCAAAACTTTCGGTCAAAACTTTCGGTCAAAACTTTCGCTCAAAACTTTCGGTCAAAACTCCGGACCTGAACCCTATACAATTTCTATAAACCCTAAACCCTAAACCCTAAACCCTAAACCCTAAACCCTAAACCCTAAACCCTAAACCCTAAACCCTAAACCCTAAACCCTAAACCCTAAACCCTAAACCCTAAACCCTAAACCCTAAACCCTAAACCCTAAACCCTAACCTAAACCCTAAACCCTAAACCCTAAACCCTAAACCCTAAACCCTAAACCCTAAACCCTAAACCCTAAACCCTAAACCCTAAACCCTAAACCCTAAACCCTAAACCCTAAACCCTAAACCCGCCCACCACCCCTCTCATTCTGGAGGTGAGTGGGCGCCGTCGAGCGCTCAGCGAGACCATGGCAGGCTCTGCTGAGCTGCAGAGCCTGCCAACCGCACCCCTGAGGGGTCGCCAGGCTACAGTCGCCTAGCTCAGTGACTGTTTATATATTATA